AGACCACATGCAAGCTGTTCTCGATCTACAGTATGCTGCAGCGCTTGTGAACAGCTACAGTCAGCAGCTCCCTCCGTGATTGGATAGGGAAGAGGAGTACCATCAATCCGTTTGTGCAAAAAAATGACATTGTACTATACAAATAGTACTGTGCAGAAATTGTCATCTTTGATAGTTGTGCGCGAAAATGGATTGCATAGGAAATGCAGTGCTCTTATCTCTCATCATCTCTATCAGAAACTGCTATTGGTCGTAGTAGTGCTGCCTTAGTCGATCTCGACGAGTTAGCTTGCCTTCAATTGAGCCATTGATTGATTATGCCAACTACTCACGATGAGATGATTGAGAACGTCACGTCTATGCAAGTGTACGAGTGAAAAGGCGTTCGCCAAACTTTCGCGTCTGTGGTGGGAGATGTGGTCGCACTAGTTTGTTTTTAAAAATCGTCAGTCTGCACTGTGGCTACTCCCCAGTATTTCTTCGATATGTTAGACTGACGTCTATCGTAAGTAACTCACGGGTAACTTACAGGAAGTTTCTCCGCGTGTCATCACTAACATACTATTCAGATCAATTCCTCTAAGTGAATGTGAACTGATTCAAGTAAGATAGACTACCTCGTCAGGTAGACGGAGGATCAACTGAAATTTCATTCTGCATTCTTACTGCATGGAAAGGGGACGGTCGTCATTTTGCTTTGAAGAATCTCGGATGAGGCCTCATTTCACTTTACCTGAATTGAATTAGCTTTACTACGGGCCATTTTCTTAGATTCCCTTACGTCACCTGGAAGATGTGACTTGTTTGTAAACAGAAGTCGGCAAAATCTTTGATTTTCATTCTTTATTGATCGCATTATAAATGCAATACAAGTTATACTCTTTTCTATTGAAAAAAAATCAAGCTCATGCATTGATGTCGACTAGATTGAATCGAGAAAGTATTCCCTTATAGAACAATTTGCGTAGTAGCCTTGATTTTGAGAGTAATAATTAGAATAATTTCAATTCCGGACAGAGGAACGGGTTTGCTATTGGGCGATTTCTGCGCGTACTACTGGTCCCGGCGCGGTATACTGAGGCGTGTGCGAAGGAACAGTAATTCGCGGAGGCGGTATTTGTCACTCTGCGTCAAGGTCGCACTGCATGAATGTTCTGTTCGCTCGAATTCTGCTCTCGAAATCAAGGCTACGATAAATCGCTCTGATTACAAATATCAAAAGGCTATTCAGATCCTTTCCTATACCCGAATATGTTCAGCGTATGTGAGATCCTATGTTCAAAATCAGATCATCGTATGAGGTGGAGGAGCATGATTGTTAATGGAAGAAACAAGAGGAGTATGTTCGCCAGCATTGCCATGTCGTCGCGGCCCATTGCTTCGATGATGGATTTGTGGATGTTGCTTTATCTGGTCTACAGAAAGTGCACCTCTCCTCTTTTTCGGCATTTTTGATCGAGCTTGCGTGTGTGAGTAGAACATGGCAAAATTGGAGACGATGACCTGGAACCAGAGGTATAAGGTCCCAGCACGAAATTTGAGCATAATATTGAAACATACTGGTACTGGCAGTGCAATCGTAAGCACACCAGTAAGAGCACAAATTGAACCAATCAACCGTCCAAGATACGTGTGAGGGGTAATATCACCGTAACCAATGGTAGTCATGGTGACTATCTGCAAATGAAAAATCTCCTTGAAAATATGCCACATTTTAGGGCATCAGGCATGGTAAGTAAAGATCTAGCAAAATTTTTCCAGAGCTGTGATTGGTTCCAAGCTAGGGGCGGAGCCAATCAGTCACAGTTGTGCTTCAATTTTTCGTTAAAAAGATATCTTCTAGGGAGTATAGGACAAATTGTGCGCATTATGCATGCCTCGAGAAAAAAATTTGAGCGGGATGAGCCTGAAAATCTGTGATTGGTTCAAGCGAAGCCGAGAGCGGCAGTAACCAATCACAGCTGTGCTGTCAATTTTCTAAAAAAACAGCCAAAAGTGATTTCTAAAAAAATAAAAATTCGGTGAGCTTTAGAAAAATGCAAGCGTTTCTAAGGTTGGAAGTATGATTGGTCAATTCTAAGCCATGGGCGTGGCCAACCAATCACAGCTGTGCTGTCAATATATTTCGAAAAAAGCCAAAAAAGTTCTTACAGAATAATAAGCATTTTATGAGCTTCAAGCATTCTAATGGAAATGTCGAGCTAAAAAGGCACCAAGCTGCGATTGATCTATGTCAAGTCAATGGGAGTGGCCAACCAATCACAGTTGTGCTGTAAATTTTGCGAGAAAACAGTCAGAAGAATTTGTAGGGATGAATTATAGAATATTTTTTGAGCACCAAACATGCCATTAGGAAAGGAAATTTAGCAAAATAAGTGCCAAAAGCTGTGATTGGTCTGTGCCGACCCAGGGGCGTAGCCAACCAATCATGGCATCGTACGAGTGTGTATGATATGAATGCTAGAGAAGCGATAATATTACTCACTGCCCACCACAATCCAATCGGTATGCTTTGAAACTGATTGTCAGGATTTGGTTCCACTCGTTCTGCATAATATACCAATGATGCAAATACGACAACACCCAGAACGAGGAAAAATACCAGAAGCATAAGCTCTTTTGCAGAAGCTCTGCAAATAAAAAAATTTATTTTTGTGCTACGAAAAGGTTAGAAGAGCTACCGTAACCCAAGTTAATGAGAGTGTTTTTACCCACCTGAATGTGTGCATAAGAATCTTTAACCCGCTATTATGATGAGTGAGCTTGAATAATCGCATAATTCTAATGATCGAAAAGAATTCGAGATCTGCTGAGGCACCAAAAGTATTGAATAATACATCCATATAAAATGTAACCGTAGCAACAATGTCTATCAAGTTTACTGGAGCCTGAAAGTAGGAAAAATTGATTGCATTTGGGTTAACTTCAATAAATTTACCTTTAGGTACTCCGTGCGGGACGGGCAACATGTAAATCGTATCAATATTTCTATAGTAAACCATATATTGCATAA